TTTTTTATATATATATATTTTTTTTTAGTTGTCCAGCTAATTTCTTTCTCTTTTTAGTAGGGACGGGGTCTCGCTCTTGCTCAGGCTGGTCTCGAACTCCTGAGCTCAAATGATCCACCACGCCCGGCCACCAGTGAACTTTTTGAAAGGTCAAGATACAGGTAGGGAAGTATGTTTATCCAGGTGGTCATACATATTCTGATTTCTTACAGATTGTACCGAAAAGAAGTTCTACAGAAATTAATAGAAAAATGTGTTTCTAAAGGCTATGTCTTCCAGATGGAGATGATTGTTCGGGCAAGACAGTTGAATTATACTATTGGTGAGGTATGTAACTGATACAAAATAGTATGTTGTATTCCTTGTAAAGAAACAGTAAAGTTTAGACTTTTTGTAATAAAAAGTTTAATGTTCATAACTACTAAGTGCGAGGTCTTGTAGTTGTTTATTTAGCATGTCCATGCACTACAGGGTAAAAATTCAAATCCCTTTCAATTAATACATTTGACTTAGCATGATTTAAAACATTAACAGAAGGCAGCATTCTCTTTTAAATAAGTAAGTTACTGGTACCTTCTCTATCCCAGCCCTTTCTTCTGACCAGTCAGCACTGTGGGCTGGGTCTCTTTGCTGCTTTTCCTCTTGACACAGCCAGCAGCCACCATACTTCCTACCTCACAATCAATGAAAAATCTCTCATGCCCATTTCCTGTGATTAAATGAAAATGGCCAGGAATTAGAGAGTAAGGGATGGAGGGTGGTCTGCACTATTTAGGCCTGGCTAGTGAGCTCTTAGGAAATCTCTCATTTAACACTAAAACTCTTATTCAGAGCAAGGAAATAGCTTCCCGAGAATGCCATTTCTCTTGTAGAAGTTATAAGATTTTTTAACTTAATGCTAAAACATAATGATAGCTAAATTTGACAAACAACTGAAAAAACTAAGTGAAAGGCCATTTTACTTTTGGAGTGTAATTTTTCTTTGAAATGCAACCTGAAACTTGACTCAACCAACATAATACTGAGGATCAGTGCTTTTTAAACAGTTGTGTAGATTTGGTTCAAATGACCTGTTTTTAGATAATAAAATGCATGTTTAGTTTCAAAGACTTGGAGGTACACATAGTTGTTTTAAGACTCCCCTAATTTTGAACTAACTTGAAGGACTTCTGTTGTGGGACTAATCCTGTTTCTGATGTGTTAGTAATGGTTGTATACCTGCTACGCCTCCTTTCTAATTTTTTTGAAGACTGACTTTAACATATATTTTTTTAACTAGGTTCCAATATCATTTGTGGATCGAGTTTATGGTGAATCCAAGTTGGGAGGAAATGAAATAGTCTCTTTCTTGAAAGGATTATTGACTCTTTTTGCTACTACATAAAAGAAAATTATTTATATTTATGTTCATTTCAATTTAAACGTAAAGCCTAGTTACTGATTTTTATAAAATGTACTCGTAGAGCATAAATCATAAGGTAAGGTAAATTTCATGCAAATCTTTTTTTTTTTTTCCAGAAGAAACTATTTCAAATTAAATAATTTTACAGTTACTGGTTTAATGAATAATGTTCTCAATTTTCATTTAATGTTTTGCTGTATTAAGACCTATAAATAAATGTATATGGGTTTTTTGCATAAAATGTTGCTGTTTTCATTAGAGTATGTGAATGCAGTATTTTTGACATGGGGAATAATTTGAAATATTCCTTACAGCAACTGGATTCATAGTTCTTTATACCTAATGTCAGAAGAGGAATGTCAGTTATATTCATGAAATATATATGGCCATTTCTGTATGAATTGAAAAAATATATACCTCTACCCTTTCCTTAAAAGTGCAATTCAGATTTTCTTAAAGCAGAAAAAAACAATACATCTAGAGCAGACTTCTAGAGTTCTTTTCAGCTGTTGTATTGATGAAGGAAATCTATTTAAAGTATATATTGGAAACTGGAAAACAATTTGGCTGCAGTTGATTGCCTAGCAATTTTTTTTTTCTCTTTTGAGCTATAACTTTTTTCACTTTTGAGCAGTAACTTCTATAGGTAAGAAAAAATATTGATGACATTGTGGCACAAACTTAGCTGCTATTTAATTTTTAAACATCTTATTATATGATTTTTTTTCCTCAAAATATTTGTTTTCGTAGTATTTCAAGACACTCAACAAAGCTCACATCTCTGCTAATATGACAAAAATCTCTTCCCTGTAGCTCATCTCCATTCAGAAAAGTGTTCTGCCAGTTAAAATGCAGGTTAAGTTGTACAATAAAGCCAGGGCAAATATTACGTTTACCTCTAAAGTAGGTATTTCAAAAAAGATCAGTTAATTTCTAACTGTAGTGTAACTTTTGGATCATGCAGTATTCTTTTTTTTTTTTTTTTTTTTTTTTGAGACAGACTCTCACTCTGTTGCCCGGGCTAGAGTGCCGTGGCATTATCCTAGCTCGCAGCAACCTCAAACTCCTCTTGGGCTCAAGCGATCCTCCTGCCTCAGCCTCCTGAGTAGCTGGGACTACAGGCATGCACCACCATGCCCGGCTAATGTTTTCTATTTTTGTAGAGACGGGGTCTCACTCTTGCTCAGGCTGGTCTTGAACTCCTGAGCTCAACCAATCTGTCTGCCTCAGCCTCCCAGAGTGCTAAGATTACAGGCGTGAGCCACTGTGCCTGGCCTCAGTATTCTTTTTAAAATTTGAGTAAGGACATAATTTGAGCAAATAAGATCAACCTGACTTTTCTTTGTAAATAAAAGAAAGAAGTGTCTCTAAGTTATTTAATAATTATATTTAGTGAACAGTATTCCTAATTACATTTTCCTGCCTTAATTTGGCTGCTGAAGAAATTGAAGTCTGATTTATTTGCATTTCTCTCTAGTGGATCCTACCAAAAATGAACACCAGACTATAAAACCTTTGGTGTCATTTTGAACATTAAAACCTCTCCTTCACTCTTGTAGGTGAACCCTAATACACATTCCAATTAGGGCCATTATTATTCTGTTTCCTTTATGTGCAGAGCTGTTCAGCTGGCCCACCAAGGACCTGCCTTCCTTGAGGAAGTGACTTCTCATCATTAATAACTAGAAAATTCATCAGTGCTTGATGTAAAATTACTTTTAAGCTAAGATAATAGAAATGTAATATCCTCAATTTGGGGAAGTTTTTAGAGTTTATACTTTTTAACCTAAACTCAAAGTTAAGTTTTTTTCATCGTCAAGTATATGCAGCAGAATTAAGTAAACAACTCGGAGAACCCAATATAAAGTAAAGGTAGTATTGCCTTCTCCTGTCTCACTAGAGTAGATACCTGTTGCCTTTTTAATCTTTCAGGTCTTAGTCCCACCATCATTATTATAAAACTATCACTATCGGAATTTACAATAAGGAGTATTTGAGCAGTGAAGATTCTTTCACCATTTGGAAGTCATTTAGAAAAGAACCTGGATTATTGAGATGCATTTTTATAGTAAATCTGGTGACTTAAACACTGTAAAATTAACATTTAAGTCTGAATCCAGCATCTCTTTTTGCTTTTAAATGACGCCAAGGGTGAAATCTAGATGGTCTCCCTTTGTATTTGTATTATCACTGTATGAAATCTAAATATATATATGGAAAACTAAACTTAGGAAGAACTTATTTTTCTTCATATTTTTGCCTGTCTTCTGCAATGTGTAATTAGATTCTTCACCTTTAGCTTTCTGAATTGAATGCTTTGCTCCTATCCCATTTCCTACAACTTTTTTCAGCTATTGTTTTCCCTTGAAATACTGACTTGGCTTTAAAGATATATTTTATCACAATTGCAGAAATTAATGGAATACTGTGTTGAACGAGAATGTTTAACTTGCTAACTGAAGTCTTACAACATTGAGCTATATGTAACTGCAATTTATACCACTTGTAGTTCAGTCAGATTCTTTTGGGATGTTAAGTGGATGAAACTATTTTAACATGAAATTTAAAGAAACAGCAAAGGACGGGTGTATTTACAGATCACGTATTAGGAAAACAAGCTTGGTTAATCCTTAACGATTGGCATTTATTACTTTTCAATACATGTAACCGATGACATATTCTCAGGCGCACTCGACTATAAAAGGTGGGTTCAAAAATGTTGAGGGCGTAATGCATTCGTTGGGATTGACCTAAATTCACAATGCAGACTCTGTCCATGTGCTGTCTTATGCTATCTGCTATCCGGATTGTGGGAGCACTGGAAGTTACTGTCGCTAGGACTACAATGCGTGTTTTTTTAAGGATCTTGTGGAGATCCATTGGCAGTATCACTTCTCATCCTTAGGCTTCACCAGTTGGGCGGCTTCAAAACACTAGATTTGCTTTCTTCAGGCCAAAGAGAAGAGTCCATCACTGTGACTTGGGAGAATGTCAAGTCACAGGGCAACGGCGGACCTTCTGCAAAACTCAGCCCCTGTCCACGGAATACCCACCCCACCCGTAAGGGTTCAGAATTACATGGGGTTGTGTCTCCTCTCAAATCCGTGTGTGAAGCACGAGGCCCTCACACCTCATTTAGGGCAGGAGGCGTCAGGGGCGACCGGCCAGGTGTCCCTGCCCCTTCCTGCTGCTGCTGCTCAGCCCGTGACAGCGCCGGCCTCCTAGCACGTGGAGCCGCCCAGGGCTGCCCCGCACACCCCTCCCGCCAGATGTAGTCCAGGCCCAGCTGGGCCCGCGCAGGGATCCCCAGCACGGCCACCTGACTGAGTGCTGGGCGTGCTGCGGCCCGATGCTTCTGCCTCCGCCGCGGGCGCGGCGGCCAGAGGAAGGCGCCCGCCGAGTAGACGGGCCCTGGGAGCGCACTGCGGCCATTATCCGCGGCGCCTCCTAGTGGGTCAATGGCAACTCCTGGTTCTCGCGAGAGCTCCCCCTCAGTGGGGATTATATAATTTTCCTTAGGTGGGGGTGGGGGTGCTGAGGGCACCCTCCCTCAGGAAAAGTTGGGTGTAAGCACAGGTGGGAGTAAGAGAGTTGTCCCTGGGGGGTGTGGGGGAAAGGGGTGCTGTCCCCCACTGCCCCCCCTACTTAGCTGGACAATGAGTCCTCTTATGCTAATGAGGTACTTACGTCACTTCCGCTCTTTCTCGGCCGCCATTTTGGCTAGGGCAGGTTCGGGGACTCGGTCCGAGGCGCTTGTATTGTCTGCTGAGGGGAGACGCGGGATCAGCCCCCTCCCCCGCCCGTTGCCGCCGCCGCCTCAGCCGGCCCGGTCTCCCCTCCGCCGCCCGCCGGGATCCATGAGCTGAACTCCCGCCCCCCCCGTCGCCGCCATCTTGTGCCCCCTCCCCCTCCCGCAGGCAGCGCTAAGGGGGATTTTGGCGTCTCCTCAGACACAGCTCCCTCTCTCGGTCCCTGCTGCTGAGGAGCGAGAGGAGCGCGGCCGCCGCCGCCCGCCTGCCCGCGCCGGTGAAGCCGCCTCTCCCACATCCTCCGTCTCCTCCCTCCGCCCCTCCTTTGTCTGCACCGCTCGACGACGCTACCGCCGCCGCCGCCGCCCGCCGCTCTGCTGCGCCCGCCGCGCCCCCCGGCAGCAGCCGCGGCCGCGGCGCGAGCCGGAGCCCGCCGAGCCAGAGCGCGACGAGGCCCCGGGCGCGCCCTCCCCGCCCTCGCCTCCGCCACCGCCGTGCCGCCGCCATCCTCCCGCCGCCGCTGTCCGGCCCCCGAGCACGCCGGCCCCGCGCGCGCCTCGAGGCCGAGTCAAGGTAAGCCCCGGCGCCGCCGCGCGTGGACCCGCGGCCCTGCCCTGCCTCCCGACCCCCGGTCCGCGCGGCTGCCCGCCCAGCCCGGCGCCCCGAGCGCGGGGCGCATTGTTGTTCGCATCGCCACCCTCCAAAGACACACACGCTCCTTTGCATACTCCGGTGCTGACGGCCCGCCTGTCCCGGCACGGACCGCTACCCGGGCTCTGCTCTGGGGGTCCAGGCGCCTCCTCCTGCAGCCCGACCCCCTTCTCCGCCCCATGTACCCATCGAGGCCAGCAGCCAGCCTGGACACCCCGAGCTTTTGCAGCTAATCGCATCTTCCCTACCCCGCCCCCAGCCAGAACTGAGCTTCTCCCATCCCTGGGACTAATCCCATCCTCCCCCCTCCCCAAGAAGAACCCACAAGCCCCCCACGCATACCCCCATGCCTGGAACGAGCCTTCTGCCAGGTCTGCCCACCCTTAGCTGGGGGAGGGGGGACTGGATTGGGGGGCGGGGAGCGTGCATGGCACGGAGTGAAAGTCTTTGCCTCCCCTGTGCAATCCTTCCTGCCCAACATGCCAGCTTCACTCCTGTCCTGACCCCAGTCCACCACCACCCCCTTTTCTCAATCTCAGCTGCCTGGTCAGCACGACCTTTTAAGAGCATTCTGAGCCCCAACTTTGCAGTAAGGTGCTAGGAGATGGAAATCCAGAAAACTGCAAAAAGATTTTTTTTAGTGCAATGAATGGGGAGCAGTTCTTTAAGCACCCTCTTAT